GTTCAACATGGTGGACTCCATTGAAGGCAACCTGCTGCATCTAAAGATATAAAATGCTCATCCTAAGGTAACAAAAACATAAAGGTTCCTATATGTAGGTGTTTATACCACTAATGAAAACATACCTATGAATATTATATTCATCCATTTTTCTCACTAGATCCTCCTAAATGTTACACACTGGACCTTTAAACACTATACACTGAATATCTACAAACTACTGTGATGGGATTGCTGTTACACACTGTCACAGTATACTTGAAAACAAAGTTTTGAACACAATAATATTAAACCTGTTAGTGGAGCTGTGGGACAAAGCTGGTGCTCTGATAAAAGTTTATTAAATGTATTTTTCTGTTTTCTTTTTACTGTTCTCAGTCCTAAATCCAAACAGTAGCTGGTAGTACACTCGTGGTAATATTGTTACTTTTTATTTACAGAGAAACAGAAATGAGAAACACCATATTGGCTCAAGTCCTCGACCAGTCTGCCCGTGCAAGACGTAAGTGTGTTATTTAGCCTGCTGAAAGGAATCCCTTTGGAAATGAATGATGCTTCTGTAGAAACAAAAGCTATTATTTAAAATGTGTTGTGTTTTCTTTTTTTGGCAAGGTGATAAAATAATTTTCTCTTTTCAGTGAGCAATCTTGCTTTGGTGAAGCCTGAGAAGGCTAATGCAGTTGAAAACTATCTCATTCAAATGGCTCGATTCGGAAAGTTAGGAGGAAAGGTAAGAGAGTGTACTTCTGGTGCTCGAAGTGTTAATGTTTTTGATGTTCGTCCACACGCCAGCAGTGCAATGAATGGATTTTCTCTTTTGTCAGATTTCAGAGTCAGGCTTGATCGAGATTCTAGAAAAAGTCAGTCAGCAAACGGACAAGAAGACAACTGTCACAGTAAGTTCAACTGAAACGTCACCTATGTTTGATTCATTATGAGTCACTTGTCCATCTTACATTATTTGTGCCCTGTACTTGTCAGTTCAATAGGCGGAGGGTGTTGGACTCAGATGATGAGGAAGATTAATAACTTTGGACGGGAGCCCTGGAACGACCCAAGAAATCGGGAGAGGATATGCTTTACTGGGACTCTGATAGCATCTTTGACTAGCTGAATGCCGGGATGCCGCACTTGCTTCTGTGTGTCTCTGGAAACTACATACCAAGAGGGAAGAACAGCAAAGTGGAGTTGACCTTGTGATATAAGTGGTGGGGGGTAGAATGCAGTCAGTGTCAAATAAGGTGTTCTTTTGCAATCAAGTTGCAACAAATGTGCACTGCTTGTGTTGTATCCCTGACAGCTCATGGCACTGTTTGACTCCTCTACTCCCTCTCAGTAGTTACTCTACTACGTTTCTTTATTTTCACCATGGTCGACTTCTGTTCTTCAAACATAAGAAGCTAGATAAAATGCAAAACCTACACTGTTGATGTGTTCTATCTAGACTGTTCTGGGAATATATTGTTCTCGATTCAAAGTCTGCATCATATTAGCTTTGGATGTTACATTTTTTTTCTTTTTGCTGACATCAAAAGTTTACATAAAAACAACAAAAAAAAGGCCTTAAATTTAAGTGTTTGTTTTTCTAGTGTACCATTTATAAAATAATTAGTTATTGTATGAATACGGTTTCCATTTTGGGTTTTTGTTCCATTGGGTCTAGGCACACTGTTACCACAGTTGTGACTATGCTCAACACAGGAACAGGAAACTTTGCAGCATCTACACACTGTATCTTCACCATTATAGAAAAAAAAAGTTTCTTTATAGATGACTGACATTTTTTTCTTAATTACCAATCTCATATTTTGGATTTTATTTCAGAAACAAGAGTTAACAGATTCCCAAATGTATCCAACTACTTTGAAATAAAAATGTTGAAGGAGAAATGTGATTTTCTTTTTTTATGTTAAAAAATGTAAAATGTAAAAAAATGCTCCAATAACACTACCGCTAAGAAGCAAGCTTGTTCCTACAATCAACATATATTAAGGTGTTGCCTTGAATTAGCTGCAGGTAGCAGGGCTTTACCTTGTATAAACACTATAATTGTTATAGTAATACTTTTTAAAACTTTTATATTCTAAATGTTATCATTGCTTTGAACAACTGTGTACCTGCATTGACAAGTGGAAGAGGAGTAGATGGCTAAACTGTTACATTGTCACCATTGGTTGAATGAGTTTTCTGATCCTTAAGTAAAGCCAGGAACACCACAGTCTAAAACATGTCCTGCATTTACAAGGTTTACAAAAGTAAAGTGTTATCCGCAACGCGTAAGTATCAGAAGTAGAGACATTATGCAGGCAAATAGCCCCTGTCACTGTGAACTACTGGATAATCATTTCTATTTAAGCAGCATTTTAATGTTTTAACTGATCAAGCTAATTTTACTATCATACTGCTTGCTAGTTTATTTTACAGTGTAGCAGTGCATAGTTCATAAACTCATCAAATGTGTTATGAAATGTAGTGAAGTACAGAACTTGAGTTCTACTTTCCAGCGCTATCACGCTGAATTTAAGTATTGTTTTAACTTGTACTTTAGGTTTACAGTTACATTATTTACAGACAATTAGATTATTTGTTTTCTAATTTCCCAACCATCATTTATTTCCCTGGGATGTTACATACATTCTGTAATCCATATACATTCACAGTAACTGTGTGTGGGGTGGTCTCTATCCTTGCCCCATTTTCGCACGACCGTGGTCAGATGATCTCTGATTGGCTGTCCGTACTGCTTAATCACAACGGCTCGGCTCTGATTGGTTGCGGGGTTAGCCACATGTTCGCCACCAGCCAATCGAGAGAGACTTCGCGGAGCTGTCATAGTAAGGTTGACTACTATGGCTGAATAGTGTTAGCTAAACTGAATCTGGCTCAACACGACTTGTGTAGTGTATTTTAGAATATCCAGGTACACTTTTATCAATTCAAACGTCAGTTTACATATTTAGGAAAGCCCGAGGATAGTATGGACAAGTCAAACATAGTTACATGCACCGCTCCTGTGAATATAGCGGTCATTAAATACTGTGAGTATCCCCTCGACTTATTATCTGTGTACAGTAACTGTAGGTTTGTAGCTTTGGGACTCAAAGAAAGCTAAATCCTGTCTAATCGACAATACTTGGGTTTCATGTCTCACTGAATACCGGGCTTTGTGGTCTTAGAGTCGAGCATATTCATTCTGCTTCATCAATACCTCAGTGTTTGAAACTTTCTTTTCAGGGGGCAAGAGAAATGAAGAATTAATTCTACCCATTAACTCGTCGTTGAGCGTCACATTGCATCAAGACCAGGTATAGTTTTAATCAGTCAGACGATGTATCTTGTGTCTGTAGGATAATGCAGCCTTTCAAAGTGTTATATGCTCCTGTGAGCTGCTACAGGCGAGCTACACCTGTGTTTTCCTACCATCATATACAGACTACATAAATAAAAGCGTAGAAAATAGCATGTTTGTGTTATGTTGGGTCAGTCTTGAAATGTTTATATTCACTTAGACTATTGTATGCATTGGGAACTATGCACTGACAAACTTTGTAGCAGAGTTTGCACTAGGATATAGTACCTCCTTTAAAAAATGCAAAGGCATGATACAAAATATCGACCTTGCAATTGAATTGTGGGTGATGGGTAACATAAATTGTGTCATATTTGATGTGTGAGGCTAAAGTTCTCAAATCTGGTGTTGTATAAGTGATAAGATGGCTGCATTTAATATAGATCTGCCTCTTTTCCCTCCTGTAAAGCTGAAAACCACCACAACAGTTGCAACCAGCAGATCATTTCAGGAAGATCGAATATGGCTCAATGGCAAAGAGGAGGACATAAACCATCCAAGAATACAGTCCTGTCTGAGAGAGAGTGAGTCCTGTCTGTTTTATGTTTTCATTTTCATAAGCACAGAGAGGACAAAGACTGGCAGTTAGACAGTGCACGCCACTGTGTCATTTTTCTGTGTTTCTGTGTTTAGTTCGACGATTAGCAAGGAAGAGACGTAGTGATGGGGACCCCGGTTTTGATTTGACTGGTTTGTCTCATAAAGTCCACATCTGCTCTGTGAATAACTTCCCCACCGCTGCTGGCCTCGCCTCCTCAGCTGCTGGATTTGCTTGTCTGGGTAAGTGTGTGTGTGTGTGTGTGTAAGCTCTGTTTCAGAGCATGTCTGCAATCACACTAATGACACTACGGTAGCAATTTTATTAAAAGCTCAACAGCTGCTTTTCAGCATAGAATGAGAAAAATTCAAACTATATTATGTTACCTGTTTGTGCTCATTCTTCAATATGCCATGTCTATCTCATATTTTATACATCTACTTTTTATTCAGTCTCTTCTTTTATCCCTTTTCTTGCAGTTTACACTCTGGCCCAGGTGTTTGGCCTAGAAGGGGAGTTGTCTGGGATTGCTCGGCAGGGCTCAGGCAGCGCATGCCGGAGTATGTACGGAGGGTTTGTGCAGTGGATCATGGGCCAGAAAGATGATGGCAAGGACAGTCTGGCCCAGCAGGTGGAGCCAGAGACTCACTGGCCTGAGCTCAGAATCCTTGTACTCGTGGTAAGTCAGTGTGTCTGACTTTGAGAGAGAGAGACTGAAAGAATGGGGCGAGTCTCTGACATCTTTGCACATTTTTGGAAAGTCACAAAATGTATTTCTTGCTTCTATGAAAGATAATTTCTTGTAACATACATACAACATCTTGTAACATCTAACATGTAAAGGAAGCATCACAACTAGAAGCACAAAATGTATACTTTAATTGAAAATAGTAAATAGTTATATCAGAGTAATTAATGCACTTTGTCACAGGCCAGTGCTGAGAGGAAGCCAATTGGCAGCACCTCTGGAATGCAAACCAGTGTACAAACAAGCTGTCTCTTAAAGGTACTGTGTTCAAACATACATTATTCAGTCTACTAACATTACTGTCATTACTATTAAAAGTGAAGATTATGTTTGTTAAGACTAAAGCTAACTTATGGTTATTATGGTCTATGTCAATCTTTTTTGTGCGTTTGCGTGTAGCACCGGGCTGAGTCTGTTGTCCCAGGCCGGATGGTAGAGATGACTGAAGCGGTGCAAAGAAAGGACTTTGCTGCATTTGCTGAACTAACCATGAAAGACAGTAACCAGTTCCACGCCACCTGCCTTGACACATACCCTCCCATCTTCTACCTCAACAGTGTGTCTCAACAGGTTATCAGTTTGGTGCATCGGTATAACAGACACCACGGGGAGACAAGGGTGAGCAACTTTACACTTCTGTTTCTGAGAGAGCAGAAGAATATCTGTGTAGGTTTATTGTGTTAACCCATTGTTTATTTGAAAGAAGATTCTTCTCGGTGCATTATCACACAACAATAACACAACTATGACAATAAAAGAAAGCAGTTGAAATGTTAATAATATAGTTTCAGTTCTCTGTACATTTAAATGAATGGGAACAGCTGCCGTGAAAAAGTGGAATGTCTTGTCTCAGTTCATGCAGCTGAATTTCTGAGATGGTGTAATGAAGATGTGAAACTTGTGGGGTGGTTTACAAACAGGAAAAACTCTCCCTCTCTATTCACATTCTGTTTGTTTCTCTCTAGGTGGCCTACACATTTGATGCAGGACCCAACGCTGTGATCTTCACTCTGCAGCAGCATGTTCCTGAGTTTGTTCAGGCGGTTCAACATTTCTTCCCCCCAGAGAGCAATGGAGGACAGTGAGTTGACAGTTACCAGACTTTCTTAGCTCTAGTGTGCAGTATTCTGCTAAATACTGCTTAAATACAAACTTTACTATACAAACTAATTCATTTATCTAACATTTTAAATTATACACATGAATGCACAATATAGATGTTTTTTGGCTCCAAATCAGCTGTTTTACACTGCTGTTTATTAATGTGTGTTTCACCCTCTTTGAAATGAGTCAATGAACTTTACTTCCTTCTCTGCAGGTTTATTAAGGGTCTTCCAGTTAACCAGGCTGCCCTTTCTGAGGAGCTGAAACGGGCTATTGGTCTAGAGCCCATCCCAAAGGGAATAAGCTACATTATTAGTACCAAGGTACACACAGATAAAATCACTCCTTAGCTCGGTTCTTTTATTACTTTACTTTAAACAGCAATTGAAAATCAACGTTATCTGTTTCTGTGGGAAAAGGTTAGATTTATGTCCACATTTCCTTTTACATAACATCTTGTTGCATGACTTCAGTTGAAAATTGTGGCACATATTGTGATATACAGTAGTTCCTCTCCTCTACTGACCGTACACTAGACAGTTAATCCAGTATTTGTACAGCACTCTTTATTCAGGTTAAATATTATTAGAGCATTTGAAGTTTGATGCCGTTTTAGATGTTAACACTTAGACACACTTACAGAGGATGTGTGTGTTCTTTGGTGTATGTCAGTGACATGATTTCTTGTTTTGTATTCAAGGCTGGACCAGGCCCTTGTGTTGTGGAAGATCCCGCTCAGCATCTACTTGGATCTGATGGGTTGCCTAAGAAGACTGCGTGATGCTCTGCAGCCCTGAACGGACAAAGTTCCACTGAGCAATAATAAAGCAGAGATAAAATGTGCATTAGTCATATATAACTAGGTTTTTACAAATCACAGCAACAGCAGGTACTTTACTCACCACCGTGGATGCTAATATGTCTTTCTTTAATCATCAATACGTGTCTCTCATCTCTCTGTCAATTCTGTGATATTAAATAAAATATATTTTAGACAATATAATTGTTTCTTTGATTTGTCCTTTATGAATTATGAAGTTTTCTTTTTTTAAGATTTTTTTTCTCAGGGACGGACTCAATGGAAGGAAAAGGAAATGAAAATCAGACATAATTTATATATATATAAATTCCTTTATATTAGAATTTTTAAAGTTAGGAACATTGAGTGGGTTCCTAACTTTATATTTCAACACAAATTGAAACATAAAGAATGACACAGTATAGCAAGCACTTAAAATTGTATTGAAAAAATAACACCTGAGTCAACTATGATAACAAGAAAAGATAATTCTTGTATATGAAAACAATCTGACGTTTGTTTATAGACTTTCTCAATCACTTCCCGAAGACAATTAAAAAGGGAATTCACGAACCACACCTGCCTGTTCTATCTTTATCTTACCTGTCTGGTGAGTTTGATTGGTCAGCCCGTCCTCTCTCCTATTGTTGCGCTACATGTACCGGACATGACGAGGAGAAATAAGCCCCGCCCCCAGCATGGTCATGTATGCACCTCGGATCACGTAAATACATTTGCTTCCTTGTAGAAACCATCAGAAGTAGTGAGTCGATCTCTGGAGAGTGACAGCCGTCTGCACAGGGCTTGTTTAGGTGAACACGATGGGGAAAATAGAGTGGGCGATGTGGGCTAACGAGCAGGCTCTGGCTTCGGGACTTAGTGAGTATAAAAACTTTTTCTAAAGAAAAAATAAAGTTACATAAATAAATCAGACATGAACGTCCTATTAACGAGCAGTTTAATTCAGACAGGAGACTTAATAGGAAATTGTGTTTTTTAGCTACCAGTTTGTTGATTGTGTTAATGCTGCTTATTCATTTTATTACAGAATAACAATCATGTGAGTCAACTGCTTTAATAACACATGCATCCTGAATAATTAATGATTAATAAACTGCATTTCAGAGTCTAGTCGATATGCAATTCATCATGGGCTTCTCGCTCTGAGTGGAGTCAAAGGGTGTTTCGTTTATTTAAAACTTTGGTTTAATCTTCCTGTTTCCTCGTTTCAGTTCTCCTCACTGGAGGCATTGTGGGGGTGGCTGGACAGTTCAGAGGCTGGCAGTTTGCTGCTTATGCAGTGTATCCTTTAAACTTTACAGAAACCTAAATGATAGAGTTCAAGAGAATATCAAGTTTTCTCTGTCTGAAAATGTCCCTGTTCAAATATCTACTATCATGAATGTGAAATTTACCAAAACTGAGGTTTGTGCAGAAGGAATTTTACACCTACATGTTTCGCTGCTGTTGGACAGCCTTTAATTGCATGTGTAAGGATGAATAAGTCACAAGTCTAAAAGTACAAGGCTTGAATCAATGTATAATAAGTCTCTACATTGTTTCTGCTCCCATTTGTATACATGAATCATCATCTTTTTACATTAGTGACAACACAACATGGTACAAATAGTTTTCATCTATGCATTCTTACCATATTCTGCGTGTAATGAAATCAGTCCTTCTATACCTACGGAACCTGCTCGGGGTTGCAGGTGTTGCATTGTCATTATGTGTCTTAGTGGAACATTGTAAGATAAAAGCCTTGACAGATAACCAGTGCTGCTGGGGTGTTTGTGTGTCTACTTGAGTATCCCAGAAGCAAGAGGGCCAAGGGCACGAGTGTGGAGAGATCGTAAGTAATGCCATTTTCATATCTTTTCATTTTTTATGTAACACTTGTGTGATGATCGCCAGCAAAGCTTCTCATTCACTCTTGTCTCTCATTCTTTCCCCAGGGGCCAGTACTGCTTTACTGTGTGTGTAAAAGCCTTTGGGCCACTGACAAGGAACTATTATGTCAGAGCATTTTTACATGCTGCGTGAGTCCATTATCTCAGTCACTTTTCCTTTGCTAGACAGCATTCCTCTCTATGGCATCTTATGGTCTTTTGTCCACAAAATCCCTTTCTGTCTTTCTTCAGAATCTGTGTACCTGGAGGTTTTATGCTTGCTACTGTCCTCGGATGTGTCTGCCTCGGCATTGCCAGCCTCATCTACCTGGTGGTAAGTTGGTACATTTTACTATTAATTTATTACCATTAATCTCCAGTATAGCTGGTTTTAGTCAACTTTGATGAAGTTGTTAGGTGAAGCAGGAAGTGGACAGTTGACGGAAACAAGGAAATAGCAACAAGGAAGAGATTACTGGTACCTCTGTTGAGACAGCCTGCAGTTGTGAAATCGGACCAAACCGGGGTGGGGCTTGACTTGGTTTTAGACTGGCCAACCATTACTGACTTGTGTCGTTGTATTCTTGTTTTCCAGGCTGCTATCCGAGGTGAACACTGGGAGCCCATTCTTCCAAGGAAGGAGGTCCGAAAGCCTGTTGCAGAGAGCATCAAGAATCCTCCCCAGAATCCACCACCAAGACCTCCTGCAGAGATGCGCAGGAAACGGGTAGACGACCTGGAGGGAGCAGCCTATGACAACCCCATCACTGTCACAGACAATTAGTAACCGGTCCAGTGTCCCATTCCCTCTATCCCTTCCCCCTGTCTGCCTGAGATCTTGGTACAATTAAACCCATCAAAACCACTCACAGTGGGGCGTCACCAGATTCTGTGATTCTGGACAAATGAATAGTTTTCTGAAGTGTAGTGAAGCTAGTGACTGGACTGCATGTTGGGTCCACCTTCATACCTCAACCTGCAGACAAATATCTTGAAAACAGAGCAAAATGTTTCTTAGCAAGAACTAAGAATTAAAAGGAGGTGAGGTAAAGTGAATGTCATATTTTACTTTTGAACAAAAAAAAAAAAAACGTGCCGCAGGAGATTATTGTAAGTGGTATAGCTGCTAAGTGGCAACCACATACAGATATTGTCAAGTCAAAAGACTGTAAGTGATCACTGCTGTGCAAACAAGTGCCTGTCTTCTGCTACAACCACCATATATTTTATTTTTTACTTACCCTTTGTTCTTAATCTGTATGTATTTAAGTATTTCTTGAAGTCAACTGATCAAAATACAGTAGGACTACATAGCACTGTTTGCTATGATTAACATATTGGCACATATGTATGTGGCGGATATTAGCCATTCATTATTTTATTCTGTACTTTTATGTCTTGTAAATAAATTCTGCAAGCCCTTTGAATCATGTCTTGTGTTTGTACTTTTATGTGTTTTATTTTAATAGTTTCCTTTGGAAAATTATTTTAAGTAATGACATTTGCAACTTCCTTCTTTCAAAACTGAATTTCAATACATCAGAATTTCCCATTCTTTTTTTCACGGGTTTCTTTTCTCACATTGTTTGTGACATTGCCATCTTCTGTTGACTTAAGATGGAATATATCTGGCTTTGCTGCAGGTTGTCAGACGTGTTCTGCGAGCTGGTGGGATGTTTTTTCACGCGTTTCAGGTTTTCTTTTTGTTGGCAACAGCTGACCTTTTAAGCAGCTGGAGTCTGAGTGGAAACCACAGAGGTGGTATGGTAATAATGATACTTCCTTATTTTAGTTTGTGGGGCTGTGAAATGTGAGACACAACCAATGTACAGTACTTGGATGGATTTAGAGCCCTGTGTCTTGTGTACATTTTTTATTTGTTTTACTTATAACCAACTCAATAAGCTGTAATTAATAAATAATGACAATTGAGTGTGTTTTCCAGCCTGTAGGGCTGAGCTCATACCAATGAGTTAAAAAACCTGTCTGTCTTTTCCAGGCAATTTTGGGTTAATGCTGCCACCTCCTGCTACAGGAGAGAACTACAAACAGACTGAGTAGATTTGAAGCAGTACATGTTGCATTCAAGTTTTAGGCAAAACAAGTTCATTTAAACACACATTTCATATTCTGAGGCTGTTTCAAAGAAATTACAAATTTTAACTTTAAAATAAATTAATAAGTCTAATAGAAATTTCCACGAGACAAATATCAAAGGAATAGCTTATTTGGAATCACTTAAAAATATGAAAGAAATCTTGTAGAAACATATCAACAAACACATGTCCAACTTATATTTGTTGTAATTTAAATGTAAAAGGAGTCAGAAGTCAAAGAAAGGAGCTATGGATATTGTATCCCTTGGCAGAATAAGAAGACTAAATAAAAACTTGGCCGTCCTGAGACCTGTATAGGAGACTGTCAAATGTCGGTAATTTCTTCTTTTTGTATTTTGTCTGGCGAGGAAGAACCCCTAAGTTAAAGGCAATTACCTCCTACATGCCAAGACAGTATGGACATTGAACATTTTAGCCCCAACTTTGTGGAATAGTCTTCCACAGACACTCAGATTCACTGAATCTGTGGACTGTTGTTAAGCGGGCCTGCTCAAAAAACCCACTTAAAGGCAAGCCTTTTATAGACTCCTTGTTTGTTTTCTCATCTGTTGTCTCTCTTTTAATTTATCCTTCCCTCTTGTTTTATCTTCCTTATATTTGTATTAACATGCTCCCCATGTTTGTTTGTTTGGGTATGGTTATACCCATATGTATATTTGTTGTTTGTAAAGCACTTTGGATGTCTGTGTCAAAAAGGTGCTATATAAATACAGCTTTACTTACTTACTCAGTTACTTACTATTGTCTTGCTTGTCCCAACTATTTTCAATGTATGGTCCTAATGTACGTATCAGCTTGTTTATTTACAAATCTGCATATTACCAGTCAAGTCATTGTCTTTAAATCTTTATCCTCGAATAGTCTGTTTAGCTGCCTTATATATCACTTGCCTTCTCCTGTTCTGATTTTGCATACTGTTTGTTTTATTGTTAAAGACAGACTAATAGTTATTAGTGTAATTCTCTAATAGTTATTAGTGTAATTCTCTAATAGTTATTAGTGTAATCTCCCGTCTATCCGGTGAAGGGCGCTAGCACACTCGGAAACATTGAGACAGGTAGAGGAAGAAGAAACAGAAACCAATAGCATTGACCCTCACTGCATTGGTTTGTTGTGTATGTCAGCTAACTGAAAACTCTTTTAATCGCCAACATTGAAGTGTATGTGTCCCACGAGTAGCGGACAATGTCTACCCGGGCTCTGCGAAGACTCAGAGGGAAACAGCGGGGTCAGGAGGCCTTGGATCTCGGGGATGTAACTTTGGCTGACAGCCCGGAGGAGCAAGCTGCGGCTGAAGAGGAGCAGCTGGACGAGGCGAGTGTTTCTCCCCTGGCTGAAAGGAAAGGCAGTGGCCGAAAAGCGAAGAAAAACAAGGCTCAGAAAAACTTCAGCAACATTTATGAATTGGTAAGGTGACGGTGTAATTCCCCAGCGTGAGTGTGTCTTGTACCATAACATTAGTTTGTGTTTCCTCCTAGTAAATGTGCTGTTAGAGCTCACTGGTGGTAGAGCTTGCTAACGCATGCTAGCCGTGTGGCGTTAGCTCATTTCTCATCTTATTTAACCAAACTCACATTTATCATACTGTAGTTTGAGGTCAGCTAACTATGTGTCTGTCACATTAGGGAAGGACTGGGATTACTTCCTGAACACTGACAACAAAGCTAACATTAGACTTTAGTTTGGGCCTGATGCAACTTACCTCTACAGTTACAGTGTTTGTTTACTTTGTGGTAAAGTATTTATCTATTATTCTTGATCAAACAGATGTGGACAGATGTGGATGTGAATGTTCACAGCTAATAAAGTCAAGTTGATAGTGAATTCATACTGGCCTTTCCCTTGATAAAGAAGAATGAATTGAAGAAGAATGAAGCTTACTTATATATATTTTATATATAGATACTTATATTGAAAGTGTATGGAGTGACTTATGATTGATTTGATTAAATGACATTTGCTTTGTGTTATGAAGCATAGCGTCGCTGTAAATCAAGACATTATCTCATTATATCCAGTATTATAGTAACCTTCAGCATCTTGGGTTGTACTATTTGTTATTTTTAATAAAGGAGCTGTTTACACCAACCAGAGGAAATATTCAGATTTATAAAGACCTTGAATCTGACGCTACACTTATTATTTATTCATGCCACAAATGATATAGTTCACAACAGAGAGACTGTATATCCCTTTCCTTGAGATCTTGAACACACAATTCCTGTCCATGAGTAGTGGTTGGGACTGAAGTATTTCAACCATGACATTGTTTAAGGAAAGTATGTGTTGTCTTGATGTTGGAGGCTTTTTTTCTAACTAGATATGGGGTTTTTACTCATGTTTAGCACTGCATTATCTAACACTTTCTTGCCATTTTTTAATTTTTACTAGATTGGTGATGCAGACAGTGAGGCAGAGAAAATCTCACCTGATGAAGAGGCAGAGAAACCAGATGGAAATAAAACAAGTGGCCGGGAGAATAATGATAACAGAGACACTGAGAAACCAGATCAAAAGCAAGAGGAAGCATCTACAAAGGTAAATATAAAGCAGTGTGAAAAGGAAGTCATTTTGTGTTCCTCTGATTTGACCTAAATGTTCTGCTGATAGTGTACATATTTGCATATATTAAGCTGTCACCTCTCTTTTTTTTCTTCAGTCTTCATCTTCTGGAGATAGAGTTAAAAAGAAGAAGAAAAAGAAGAAGACAAAAGTGACGTCAGACGATGGACAGGTAAATATGTTGAGAAGGGAATCTTAATCTGCTCTGGCATGACAGTTGTAAAACTATAATATAATAAATCATATGTACTCTTAATTATTCATAGTCAAAAAGAGCTAGAAAGAAGTACTGCACACACAATGCACTAAATTGTTGACTCTTTTTGGCTAAAAGCAAACAATTAAATATGGTTTATTCACTGTGGGTTTTTTTATGACTTTCAGGAGGCTGTACCAGATGATAACATTGATTTACTGCTGGAGAACCTGGAGCAGTCCAATGGTCTGAGTTTGCAAAATGAGGATTGTGGAGGCTCTGACAGAAGATCAGTGTTACATGTGGAGCACAGGTGAGGCCATACCTTTCTTTAACTTCCCAGACTTGACTTGGTGGTGACAAAAGTATTCATTTGTACATCTACATTCACACTTCAAGACTCTGGGTTGTAGTTTACTATATTATTCCAATAGTTATTGTGTTAAATAAATTTAAGCTACAAAATGAACACAGTAGTAATGCTGAAACAACTCTTGACTAGTGCACAGCTGAATTGACTTGATCAGTGGCTGACTGTGAGTAGCCTCGCTTACATTCATACACATCTGTGATTCATAATTCCCTCCATGTGGTGGCGCTAGGCTTACACGGGAAGAGCAAACTATCTGGAGGCTGTCCATCTCAGGGGATACTGTACATTGCAGTGAATCAACACTGGTTAAAGCTTTTTTTAAACATGTTGCACATCTGGCCTCACAACCATCAGTGTCAGACCAAGTCTTTTCAATTAGCTCTTAAAGGCATCTGTGTTGGCAGCAAAGCATGTAATGTCATGAGGGCTGCTGTGTTCAGAGATGCAACCACACTGATATGGAGCACACAGTTAGCTCACCTGTGCAAACTCTGAATCATGTACTTTTAATATAACCATGGAAAGACTTTCTTTGCCACTTTGCCAAGTGCTTGCTCACGGTGGGAACTGTTGGGTCTCTGTAAATGATTTTATAAGGAGTGCGGTCTAGACCTGCTCTATTTGAAAAGTGTCCATGGATAACTTTTGTTATGGTTTGGTGCTATACAACTAAAATTTGAAAACCACAGGAGAATAATATCAGAATTATGCTTTGATTTGTTTCATTTGTTTTGTAGAATCTTTAGAAGACATAGACTGACGTGTCTAAAATATCTAAATCAATCAACCCAAGTGTTTCCCCTTCAGTGTATTTCCTCACCTTGTCCTGGCCCACATCGTCGCCTGTCAAGAGTTGAATGTTATTTTTTTCTGTCAATTCATTAGGAATCTCAACCCAGAGACGGAGCTGAAAAGATATTTTGGGGCTCGAGCTGTTCAAGGGGACCAAAGGTAAAAAGAAAAGGAAAATATTTGCAACCTGGTTTGGAAGTGGCCTACACCCTCAATATATGTAGATTATATCCCTGTGCTTATTTTCCTTTGTTTCCCGTTTTCTTTTGACAGACCTCGTCAGAGAAACCGGCAGTTTCACCGCAGCACCTGGATGACCAGTCCCAAGGACAGCTGGCCCCGCTTTAGCCGCCCAGGTAGGCTTTTCCTTTCATTCATCTGAATTATTACATGTACCTTTTTTTTTTTTTTTTTTTAAATGTATAATTTCAAATAAGCAATCTGGCAATTTTAATGACTGTTTATATTCCAAGCGCTTGCACAAATAGCAGTTTAATGCAGTTAAAAATGGGCTTCGTGGTGGCCCAGTGGTCGAAGATTTATATGTGAAAACAGACACACAAAATTGTAATTATGACGATTTCAGATTCTATCTCTTTTCAGACCACTCTCCATCTAACTATCAGTTGAAATTTTATGGGCTTATTTATTTAAGGATATTAAGTTATTATATTAGAGTCTTAGTTTAAACCATCGTACAGTAAATTATAGTAATTTAGAGGTCTTTATTTGTTCTGTTTTTATTATACATAATTAAAATTGACAAGTACATAAACAGCCCATAGCACTTTTAGATGGTTATGCACCTTGTAGTCTGAAGGAAGCACAACCAACGATTGATTAGTGGTGAGAGTCTTGAACTACCTTAGTAGCAATATATATTCTTATATTTAGCCTGCATAAAATCGTCTGAATGTTGTTTTTGTAATACTGACGTCATCAGAAAGACTGCCTCATTGTGTTCAAACTGAAAGTCACCATTGATGCATTGTGTAATCTTTCCCTTCATGCCATGGTTAAATTTGATTATTTTTCCCACAAATGTTTGTTGCTATTAAAGTGACAAACCCAGCCTTTTCAGTACGCGTAGTACATCCTCAGCTTTCTATAAGGATAGCAGAGAAAAATCTGGGGGGCCTTTAGAACATTCTAAGACAACTATTTAATCATAAACTCTGATATTAATTATTGCATATATTTATTCTAATATTCTTGAACAACTGACCAGCAGTTTTCTTTTTTAAGAAGCCCGTCAGAGTCTGTTGATTTCCACTACACTGAAACTTCCTTTTGGGTGGTATCTCTCCTCTCCCTTTTCTTCTCTATTGATATGAGAAAAGACAAAATGATATATAAAGATATAATTTAAGAATGAACATTCACTTTGTTACACACAAGCAGAAGAAAATGACCTACAGGTTACAGGATGACCATTAATGTAAACTCTGGATAAAGTGTGGAAAAATATATATACTTAAGCATATAAATTACAGGCAGTTTACATCACACCATATTTTATTTTTAACGCATAATTTAGGGCATCTGACATTAGTTTGCATAATTCTATATATATATATATATATATATATATATATATATATGGCTAAAAC